GGGAGTTTGGGATTCGGAATTTAAGTTTGAAGTAAGTTATGTCTCGAGTCTGATTACAGCATTAAGGATTGAACCGGAAATCCAGACTAAGATTAAGGCTTTACAATCTACGGACCCGGAGATTCAGAAGATTTTGGGTATGGATGTCACAAAAAGGAAATCGGATTTTCAGGTATCCGAGGATGGGATTCTGAAGTTCCGTGGACAGTTATGTGTACCCAGTGATGCGGAACTGAAGGAAGAGATTTTATCTAAAGCGCACCGTAGCAATTACAGTATTCACCCGGGTAGTACGAAAATGTATCAGAACTTGCGACAACATTACTGGTGGAACGACATGAAAGTGGATGTAGCCAAGCACGTGGCCAAGTGTTTAACATGTCAGCAAGTGAAGGCGCAACATTGCAAGCCGGGTGGAATGTTGCAGCCATTGGAAATTCCCGAGTGGAAATGGGAACACATCACGATGGACTTTGTAATGGGATTACCGAGAAGTCAAAGGGGTCATGATTCGATTTGGGTGGTAGTCGACCGATTGACAAAATCAGCACATTTTCTGCCAGTGTGAAAGGACTTCGCCTTGGAAAGGTATACCGAGATTTACGTGCGACAAATAGTCCGTCTGCACGGAGTGCCGGTGACAATCACTTCAGACCGTGATCCTAAATTTACTGCCGCTTTTTGGAAAAGTCTTCATTCGGCATTAGGAACGAAGCTACAGTTTAGCACGGCCTATCATCCCCAGACGGATGGCCAGTCTGAAAGGACGATTCAGACTTTGGAAGACATGCTACGAGCGTGTGTATTGGATTTTAAAAGTAGTTAGGAGGAACAGTTGCATTTGGTTGAATTTGCCTACAACAATAGCTACCAGCAGAGTATCAGAATGGCGCCATTTGAAGCGCTATATGGCAGAGCTTGCAGAACACCGGTTTGTTGGGATGAAGTGGGTGAGAGGAGCATCACGGGCCCCGAGTTGGTTCAGCAGTCAATCGAAACAGTCAAGGTGATTCGGAATAGGCTTAAGACCGCTCAGAGCCGCCAAAAGAATTATGCAGACCGGAGACATAGGCCTTTGGAATTTCAAGTGGGGGACCACGTTTTCCTCAAAGTATCGCCTATGAGAGGATTATCACGGTTTGGTAAGAAAGGGAAGTTGAGCCCGAGGTACGTGGGTCCATTCGAGATCGTAGAGAGAATTGGCACCTTGGCCTATCGTCTCGCGCTACCGCCTAATTTATCTCAAGTGCATAATGTATTCCACGTGTCAATGTTAAGGAAGTATGAACCGGATCCAACCCACGTGCTAAATTATGAAGAAATAGACGTGGACGACAGAGTGTCGTACGTGAAAAGGCCAGTAAGAATCGAGGACAAAATGGAACGAGTGTTGCGGAACAAGACGATTTCGATGGTCAAAGTGATTTAGGAGCATCATGGAACCGAATGTGCGACGTGGGAAAGCGAAGAGTTGATGCGACAACAATACCCCCATATGTTCGAATAGTTGGGTTGGATTGTAAATTTCGAGGACGAAATTTTTGTAAGAGGGGAAGGGTTGTGACATTCCGAATTTCGGCCCATTTTTGGGGTTTATAAAACGTGTATTTTGTCAGTGCGCTTATAATAAAATCTCGCCCGGAACTGATCATTCTTGGGTTATTATTTTCAAATTAGAGATTTCGCTAGAATCGTACTCGATCGAATTTGGCCGTTATTTAGAGCCCCAACTTTGGTGTCGAATTTCTCGGAGTTCAGGGACGAATTTAATTGGATGGTGTCGATATTATTGTGGCCAGCCTCGATATTGCCCGGGATATGTGGAAAGTGAAATTTCGACCGGGTGCGGATTGGGGCTAGTAGACCTCCCTTGTAGTGTGTTTTGGGTTATTTTCTTTTGGCCCTTTTTCCTATTAATAAATTCGGATTTTCGTGGGCCATTGGATCGTTTTTGGGTTTGAACGTGGGCCGCTGGATCGCGATTATTATTTAAGATATTTCTCTCTCTCTCTCTCTCTCTCTCTCTCTCTCCTCTATGCCACGCCCCTCCCCTACGCGCGACGTCCCCTCCCCCTGCCTGCGCGTCCTTTCCGACTGTGCCCCATTCAACGTCCCCTCTCTCTCTCTCTCTCCTTCTTTCTCTTATTTCTTCTTCTTCCCTTATTCTTTCTTTCCTTCGCCCGTGACTACTTCAGCTTTTGCATCTGCTTCATTCCGCTCACTCGACCGTTGACCACCTCGCCGTCCGCCTTGCGCTGCCGCACACTCGACCAGCCACCGCCTCTGCAGTCGCCGCCACCCAGCCACCGGACACAGTCACCGCTCGCTTGTCCGCGCACCTGGTAGCTCGCCGGACCAAGCTCGTCGTCGCCCAGCAGCTCGCCTAGCCAAGCCCGTCGCCGCCGTCCGCTTCACTCCGCCGTGATCCTCGCCGGCCCTGCCGTTCTCGCCGCCGACCTTCCTTCCCGTGTTTCTCCTTCCCCAAGCTCCTCTTCCTCCCTGCTCGGCTTCGCCTCGTCCAGTCGCCGCGCGCCGCCGTTCCGGCCGCCGCCGCTACTCCTACCACCACCAGCCCAACTCCCCTCAGCCACCATCTTCGCCGCCCAGCTCGCTGTCGCCATCATCGCCGGCTCGTCCAGCAGCTCGCCGGCCGCTCCCCGCCCCACTCCCTTGCCGGCCAGCTTGCTCGCCAACCCAGCCGCGCGCCGGCTACTCTCCCGCCGCGACCCCGTCCGCCCAGCCACCCAGCCAAGCCGCTGCCCCAGTCGTGGCCGAAGGTCTGCTCACCTGGCCGCTCGCCCGATCGTGGCCGAAGGCCTGCTCACCTGGCCGCTCACCCGGTCGTGGCCCGTCGCCTTGCCAGCCGTCGCCCGTCGTGCACGTCGCTGTGCCCATCGCCGTGCCCTGCCGCGGCTGAGAATTTTGCCCGTGTCCGAGGGCCGTGCCGAGGACCGTGCCGAACGCCAAGCCCGTGGCCTTGGGCCACGTCGAGAATTTTGCCCGTGGCCGACCGTTGTGCCGACCGCCGCGCTGAGCCCGACGCCGATCCGACCGGTCATTTTGCCCATCCTTACTTGGTCCCCTTTGGCTTGGAACCTAGGTAAGTGACTTCCTAAATCCTACTTAGTATAATGGGTATTTTTAGACTTGTTTATGGTGTGATTTAATACTGGATTACGGATTAAATTAGGCGAGGATTAGTATAATTGAATGTGCTCAATTTATGGATTATTGTGATGGTGATTGTGTGGCTAATTTAGTGATTGAATGAGATGGGTGACATGACCGAGTTGTCGTGGCGTTTGTGGGTGAAATGGAATATTTGAATGTGCCGACTTGAATGTTGGATCGGTGGGCCGATGTGGGGAGCATGACTTGAAATTGGCTGTTATGGTGTGTCAGATTGACATTGGTGAAAGCTTGGTAAATTGTGTTGTGGTGCATGTGCATGAGAGAAATGTCCTGAGGCGTGGTTACGCGGATGTGGTTAGAAAGGCAAGAAATGACCTGAGGCGTGGTTACGCGGATCGAGAGAAATGACTTGAGGCGTGGTTATGCGGGACTGAGCCCGGATTGATCGGAGGGCTGCCAACCTGAGGCGTGGTTACTCGGGTGTGGCTAGAAAGGCAAGAAATGACCTGAGGCGTGGTTACGCGGGTCGAGAGAAATGTCCTGAGACGTGGTTACGCGAGACTGAGCCCGGCTTGATCGGAGGGCTGACCTGAGGCGTGTTTACGCGGGTCGTGTGAAAGTGTGAAAGGTCCAGTGAGGGACGGAGCCCGGCTTGATCTGAGGGCTAGCCTGAGGCGTGTTAACGCGGGCAGTGTGAAAGGACCTGGGAGGTCGTGAGAAAGTTGCTAGGCCACGAATGCGAATTGAGTGTGATTGAATTAATTGAATGTACGTAGTTATGGCGTTTGAGTGGCAATGTTATGTTCTTGAATTACTATTACTTTATGGCGGATATTCTAATATGCAGAGTTGCACGTAGTTCGAGGCGAGGTAAGTATGTTGTGTGGAATTGATTGTGTTGGCTGGTGGATTGCATGTTAGACATGTCTGGGTACGCATTGGCCTAGGTGGGTTATAGATTGTCTGCTTATTGAGATTTATTCTCATTGCTGTAGTGCAAACATTTTTAGATCCCCGACCTTGAGTATGTCGCTACCTAGGTGTTTTGGGATTCCTATGCATATGGTGCATGAGGAGACCGAATATCCGGGACTGAGCCCGGACGAGACGTACATTAGGCATCTCACCACTGTTTGGGTAGACGTGGGATTAGAGGAACTGCAGCGCCATATCTATTTGGCTTGGTCCCATCGGGTCGGGTTGGTGACTACTGGGCCAATCCAGGGTTTTGAGGAGTTGGAGCATGCTAATGAGGGTGCGGTGAATTGGAAGCCCTGGGACAAGTTTACCCCCGATGGTGAGGTGACGAATCCCGATAGTCCACCGGAGAACCCTGGTCCAGAACCTGCGCCCATTCCAAAGCTAGAACCTGAACCCGTTCCAGAGCCTGAACCCGAGCCCGAGCCCGAGCCCGACCCCGACCTCGAGGAGGAGCCTATGGTGTCCGAGCATGAGAAGGAGCCGATCGAGATCGACTCGGACACGGAGTTAGAGCCTTCGCGGTCCGATTCGGATTGGGCGCGGTAGGGATGTTTAGGTGTTAGGCCTGGAAGCCTTTTTGGTAGAGTCCCTTTTTGTGCAGTCAGTAGTCTACCCAGCCACCTGTTCCTTTTTTATGACGAAGGTGGATATTAACCATAGGGGCCTAATGTATGAATATTTGTGATTTCAAGCTAATGTTATGTGTTTATTGATTTGCGTTTGTTCTACCCCGTTGTTATTATTTATTGTTTGGGATGTTTAAATTTCGCTTCCGCCTGCGTATGACTTTGGGTGATTCGTTTGGGGTCGGCGACGCGTCCTGGGACGTCGTGATCAATACGACCGTGGAAGGAGTGTCGCGAGCCCGTCGGGGTTCGGGGCGTGACAAATGATCGATAATGCTGCTGCACACATATGCATGGTTCACATGTCACATAAAGGGAGCATGCTGAAAACTTCCCTGCAACTTCTGTAGCTGAAAATCCAGCCATCTGCCACTGTTCCTGAGGGACATCAAGAGCTTCCATCTCTGCATGTCTTGTTACCTATGAAAGAGCAAGAAGAAAAACAGAGCGAGCACATCAAATTTAGGAGCTTTGCTAGAAAGATAGTTTCTCACAATGTAGGTTAGCACAAATTTAGGAAATGCATTTCACGAGGAATGTTTTCTCCTTCAAGTTAACCAATTGAGAGAATATATAAGATAGATTAAGGCATATACCACATGAACTCAACAATTTTTGCTCGGTTGAAGTTGCTGAGAATCTCACATGGAAAAAGAGGCTTCTTACTGGATTAGCCACCTCCACCTTTTCTGACAGTATTTTTATATATACCCGGTAGCAAGGTGCCTTTATTCTTTCAGTATGCTCCACAAGATACTTAAAGAGGGCAAGAGGCTATTCATTACCGTCCACAAAATCATTTATAGCAGTGTATTGTCACCATAAAACTATAAATAATTACAGCAATAGACTATTAGATAGGAGATGATCTCTACCAGAAACCAGGCTTAAACTATTTGTGTACATGTGGCCATTGTACGAAGAAATGTGCCCAAAGAGTTAGTTATTAAATCTTAAAAGGCAATACAATGCTCCCTATGCATTTTTATACCAAGTAAGAATACCAAAGCCAAGCTAACATACAGCCTAAGAAAACAATGTTAGGAACTTCACAAAAGCAGATAAAGAACATAATATGGCTCCAGACAGAGCACAATGGTAAATGAAAAACGCAACACGTTGTGCATAATAAAGCAAGAATATTGCTATTGTTGGCCTTAGTCATATCTTATGAAAGAATAATGCGAACAAAACCCTTTACAGCCTAATTATGCATGCAAAATTCCACTATTAACAGAATTATTCAGATATATTATCGGAAACCATTCACTAATTTAGACTAAAATACTAATCATCTTAATTAGAAAATAAGGTAACATATCTGAAATGCACCTAGTTACTGAAAATCAGTTTCTTACCCAACTGGAACTTCAAGGCTTTCCAAAGCAAGCTTTGCCTTATATAAGAAAAGCAAATAGGTCTCGTTACTGGTTAGGAGAAGAAAACATGAGGATAAGAGTCAGAAATAATTCAAGAGGAAATCAGCATCAAGTTGCTACCAATAGAAATATTCAGCATGTCTCATAGCTACGGATCGAATGAATGCATGTCTCAAAGCTATGTGATCAAGATCTTGCAGATCCTGTATAATATACTGGTCACAAATTCCAAGCAATGGTTATTACCACATTCTCATCCTGTAATTCAGAAGCGAATCGCACCTAACTATTGAACTGATATGGCTCTAACAACACTCAAGCAAAAACAACTAATTTGAGAAACTACATGTTGCTCATATCAGTGTGTCCTATCATTGGTACCTCAGAAGCTTATCTTTCATTAATTAGGTTTCATTCAAACATTCAAAGAAGCTTCCAGGAGCTTTAGCTTCTAGGTCAATTTCCTCCATAAACGCTATGGCACATAAGCATAAAAAGAGAACGGTAAACTGTTGCGAAGGCCTCAGAAATCAGAACTGACAATCAGCTTCTTGTGCTTTTTTTTTTTTTTTTTTGGTAACCCAGGGAACCCCCGCACGACCGACAGCCGGGAGGTAAACCCTGGGGGCGACACGTGCTAGCCACCACACACGTGAACCGGTTAAGTCACCCTGCAGCGCCCGGGATTCGAACATCCAACCTTTTGCGAGAGGAAGAGTGTCCTTTCCAGCAGCGCCACCCAGGCGGGTGGTTCAGCTTCTTGTGCTTTTGTCTCCATTCTACTGAATAATTTATGTAAACTCCGTGTTTCTTGTGATTTTGTTCTATTTCATACCCACAGTCCACAGGGAGAAAGAAAATAATCAGCTAACCAGTTATCCATGGGCACAACTCATGCTCCAAGTAAATTTGGTTTTTAATTCTCCGTAGATGCCAAAG